TCGTAATACAGTCTGGAAGGAAGAAATTTTATAACATGGCTAATATTATTACAGCTCTCGACTCATCATGGGCACCATTTACCCATAAAAACCGATAAATGCCTTCACAAAATTCAAGCATGCATCAAATAAAAGTAAGTCTAGCTCCTTTAGGTACCTGTTCAAAACCTATACAATTTCTAACATACTAAAAAAATAAAGTAAATGTTTATCCATACATATATTACTTACTAAGTGAGCTGCAACTCCAACTCCAGGTGTACACCAGATCACTACAAAAATAGATTAGTTATTCCAAACGACAACACAAAGGGGGGATTCCAAATGTACTCGGACCATACTCAGAAGTACCAAAATATTCACCATGTTCTTCAGAGTACTCGATAGAACGCTCAAAGAATTAATTAAAGAAAATAACAGAACAATAGAACTTACTTAACACTCAATGAACGACATTAATTTATCCATAATGTGTTGTATTTGGAGTACCCCCAAAAGTATTTCCACCACCACTTGTAGAGTTGTACACAAACAATAAAATCAAAGTGATTATAGTAAAATGAAATAAAAACAATTCACTCATTTTTTTAAGAATTTCTTAAACAATCCATACTAAGTCAGATCTACATAGTATATGGTTTTTTCATACCTTATATAATACTCATGGTATCCAAAATGGCACGGAAGCTCGATTGTAAACCAAAATTGTCGACATGTGAAGTCCTAGAACACTATAACTTTATTGACTTAGATGTAGGTAGTAAAGCAAGATCCAATGACTCCAGCACACAATTCGGTCGCGGCTTCTCATGGCGCAGTGGTGGCAGAGCCGTTCTCGCGACTGCAACACACCAATTTTTTTCTACAATGCTTTTGTTCTGTTCAGCATCTTAACTTTCAATCTATATTCTTTGGTCGTTACAAATGCAGCTTCCAAAAGCAGCAAAAACAGTAGAACCTGAAAAGTCAGATAGAGTTCATACGCTCAGTGATTTAGAATGATCAGAACTGAGTATATTTTGAATTCGACTACCATATTAAAGATTTGTCATTCCATCGTTTAACCGTCACAACAGAGGAGGCGTAATCTCACAATTTTTCTAAGCCAGCCCATAAGAATTCTTCAGATCAAGCATATTAAGCATATAATTTGCAAGTAGTTGGGTGACACAATTCAAGATAGCGAAAGAGAGACGTATGCTTACTTTATTGTTGTTTATGTTTCCATTTTCAATGTAAAGCACACCTCATCCTACTTAGCTTCCTTTGCAT